AGTCCTGAAAATACAACAGTTGTTCTGTAATTCTACATGTATACAGTAATTACAGCTACTGATTCAGTCCTGAAAATACAACAGTTGTTCTGTAATTCTACATATATACAGTAATTACAGCTACTGATTCGGTCCTGAAAATTCAACAGTTGTTCTGTAATTCTACATATATACAGTAATTACAGCTACTGATTCGGTCCTGAAAATACAACAGTTGTTCTGTACTTCTACATATATACAGTAATTACAGCTACGATTTCTTATTACATCAGTGAAATAAATATTTTAATATTTATACTATGATTTGTAGCTACTATATATGTCAAATAGTTACTATGGTTTAATGCGTAATATACAACCACAAGGGGAGAGCATTGTTCCTTCAACCCTGGCACGTAGCAGTATATGAAGTCAGTTGTTTTGTTATTCTGACTGTCAATAAATGCTGCCAAACTTACCTTCTTAACAACAACTTGGGATGGTTTTTGCCTTCTACAGATTTTTCGATCAGTTCTGCAAGCAGGGTCTTCAGTATACTGAAACATGGAGCAGTACCTCTGTTATCTACAGATTTCAGTTTTAAGAACTTTAAGTCCAGTATTGAAAATGGTTTGTGTTTTACTCCCGTTCTACATATTAGTTTCATGGATTCTGCATGAGTAAACTACAATATCACAAACCATTTCTTTAAGTATTTTCTAACAAGGATTGTTAACATTTGACCCCCAGCAGTATTTGATGTAAACCACAGTATTTTAACTCCGTTAAATATCCGGCATCTGGTCATTTAAAATCTAATTCTACAGTAATAGTGTTTCAAAATTAAATTGATGCGCTCTCTTCACTAGTGAAATGGTGGACACTAATAAACATGGACAAACATTTCTCATTTCAACGTACTGAAATATAATGCATTATACAGAGACTGACCTGCAGCCTGATATTATACTTTTATTACTCAGATAGTAGGGTGATATAATGTTTTGTCTCCCTATCATGTGACATATTTCGACAAATCGGACACAGTACTGTTGTATGCATGAGGTATAAACTATGGTTTGTATGATAGACAAGAAAGGTCTAGCGTCATGACTGACTTACTCTGTTGCGTACTCCATCTTGGTCTGTAGAGCCACAGAGATGAGGGACGCGACGTTGACACGGTCCCGCATTGTGAAGTGCTTGTGTCCCTCTAGGGTACGGACGAAGATCAACAGGAAGGTTTTGTTGTTGAGCATCTGTGCGAACTGCTTGAGCCCTCTCTCCACACTCTCCCTCCTGGCATAGTCCACCTACAGGCGACAACGCCATTTACATTTTTATTGTTGTCGGGGCAAAATTTTGTCAAAAAATCTTTTTCAAGCATCAGCCGCAAGAACAGAACGTTAGTTCTATGATATTGTCTATGTAAAAATAATTCATTCTTAGACATCAATGACCTTCTATACAATCCTTTTAAATCTCAAACCTATTGTGGTGTTTTTTCAGAAGAAGAATTATCTAAAAAGCTAGAAAGTCAAATTACCTACCTCATTACATGATTAGATAATTCTATCCTACAAAATCCAGACTGGATTGGCAGCAATTTTACAACAATAGTTTATGTAAGCCACTATACATCTGGCCTCAATGTCACAGAAGCTGGCTCAGACTTAGTTTAGTTTCTACTGTAATATACCATACTTGTATTAGAGTAAATTCTAAGACCTACTGTTGGAGTGGTGACATTGTGGGCTTACCTCAAGGTCCCTGATGACCGGGTGGTCAACATCTTGGTCAAGTGCGTCCTGTTTGGGGAACAATACTCTCATACAGTAGGTACGGTAATCCCAGAACGGAATGGCCACCTGACCGTAGAGGTCAGAGGTTAGCTCTGTCATGTCCGTCTGCAGCTCAGCAAAAGCTGCGATAAAATGGGTAAAATTAATAGTCTGCTTTTTTTCTCAAATGAAATTTTACAAGATATATATAGCAGTTTGTTCACCAAAAACAAATCAACAAAGAATTATGTGTAGTCTGTGAGGCTCACTGTTATACTTTTTATCTTCTGTTTCCCAGAACAAATATCTACAGAGGATGCAAGGCTGTCGGTGGCTCTCAAGGGTTAAACACCAAGAGCTAAGGGCATGGATGTTTGATGACATGGGGTTCTAGGTGGGGACCTATTGTTATGGACCTAGGGGTATGTCATTGTGCTGGTGACATGAAGTGTTATAAACCTAGGGTTGAGTACCTATTGTTCAGGAACTGTAACCTAGCATTGGGGTCCTATAAGCTCAGGGACCTGATATGCTATTGACTTTGGAATGGGGCTCTAGGGATTGGGACTTGATGTTATAGATCTAGGGCCAGGGTCCTATGATTGAACAGTGGTGAGCGAACAGATCCTACCTTCTTTACACTCCTTAGCCACTTTGGCCTCCAGGTTGTCCATCTGAATCTGCATCTTCTTCATCATGCTGTCGTTCTTCTTGGACTTGAAGCGATACATGATGATGACAACTATGATGGAGATTAAGAGGACGCCACCACCGGCCGAAATCAGAATGATGTACTCCAGGGGTAGTGGGAACTTGGCCTCCTCGTATTTCAGGTAGCCAATGAAAATGGTGAGGTTGTTTCCGATGTAGATCTGGAGGAGGGATAAAATCTTTCGTGTTATTTCACATACACTATTCTTAAATGATTTCATTGTTAATATAGTTAATGTATATTCAATTCTTGTTAAAAACCGCTAAAATAAAGTATAATAACAATACTGTTAACATTTGTATTTAAATTCTGATTAATTTGTCTGTCCTTTTGTATCACAGTTTTTTTTTGAATTACATAAATTGAGAATTTTACAGAATGTCCACATCAACCTGTATTTTTACTATGTAAGATTGACCTTTAACTAAATAGGGGAGATAACTCACTTCCACTTCAGGATAGCGATTTCCCTTGTCAGACTGAGGCTGTGACTTCGGAGGCTGGCAGGTTAACTGGTTACCAACTGAAGTCACATTACAGTAGCCTCGTCCAATCTTGACCATCACATCGTTCTGCCGGATACCACTGCTAAGGTACTGACCCTATGGTAGAGAAGAAACCACGTTCTTATTGTCACCAATAACATTGATATCTAACTAATTAACATAAATATTTTCACCATGACCTTGACCTTAAACAAACTGACCTTGAACTTGTAAACAATGCTGAGTAATGTGTATGAATGGTAGATAATTATAAGTATATCAACTGAAGTAATAAAGATTCAATATTGTACAAGACCTGGAAATCTATTTATAGTGACTGTAATTTTGAATTTTGATCAAGTTGGAAAGATTTTTCGCTACAATACTTTTCTTAAATTTATCGCGAAATCATATTATACTTACACTGATGGTCAGGTATTCGTTGTTCTTTTTCTGAAATGACTTAATCTTGTTTCCGGGGAATGGTTCAAATGTCGGATCAGGATAGATGTTGAATGATTTGAATTGTTTCTCGTCAAATTTCGTCAGGTTGAGCAAGTCTGTGACATTATCCATTCGGAATCCATAGTGGAATGAGCGAGCTGATGGTACCGAGACATCACGTCGTTTACGACTCCTGAATATTTGAGGGTCAATCATCGGAGAGAGACAGGTAAACATCTGTGCATTGCCTGGCTTACAGTCCTAGAAGAAAAAATAACAAACATTAATTGGTTTCACTAGAGCGTTAGATGAAAATCTGCCATAACAATCACCCGAGGCCATTTCTACACACCCAGGTAGGGAGATGTAGAAATCGTTTATGTGGTGAAGTCAAAGGTATAAGGATAAACATAAGCCTTGTTTCATATTAACAGAATACCTATTGTATGCTTGACCTTTGGTACCACTTATTACTTTAAGCTTAAGTAGGTTTTCACTGAATATGCAAAAAGGAAATATTTTAAATTTAACAAAACTGATTTTTTTTATATAATGTTTTTCTGTATGGGTTTTATAATGACGAGATCTGCCTAAGAAATGTACATACCCCTTCAAAAGACAATGCATCTGTGAGAATGACCATCTTGGGATTTTTGACCGCGTCCAGATTTTGACCAGTCACCGTAACAGTGACACCTCCACTGTGGAATAGAGAACACATGTTGGATTATCATCTTTACATACAAACTAAATCCATTCTAATTTAGTTCTTTATAGACATAGCAAACCAAGGGATAAATAGGCTATATGTAGATGGTGATATATGTTGATAAGGCCAGGAAGCATTCCTTACCTCCTGATAGACTTTTTCGGGTTGACATCCTCAATGATTGGATTGTCTACATAGTCGAAGAACTGATCACTTGGAACGAGCTGTTTATCAAACCACATCTTGACCTTGGCAGCACTTGTGACCTCTCGAGAACTTGGAGTCACGCACACAAATTGGTTGGATGATTTACTATAAGAGAAAAACAACAACATCCATAAGGCAAGTCATATATATAGCAATGATAACAGAAATGTAACAGTTATCTCCCCTTGTCCATTTTCTCTGTTGCGCAGAAGCATTTCAGATTAACAACAACCCCAAATTAAATTGTTCCTTGTAGTACTTTTATTCCAGTTGTACTATTATTCTCTTGTTACAACAGTAATAGCTGTTCAATCCATCTGTTGAACTTACCTTTCCTTGTGTGATGAACAGACCCGTCCCCCTATGTACGCTGTGATGTTGGTACCAGCATTCATATACTGGCCGTTGATAGTGACTCTGGTCCCACCTGCCTGGGGACCATGGCTGGGCTGGATGCTTTCTATCACAGGGTCCTGGGGGAATAATAATAGCATTGTACAGTCATTATAATCATAACTCTCCACATGGCTTTGCATAACCCCAAACTGCATGTGATCAAATTAGTGAATAATGCTTAAATTCTTATGATCACTTCCAAATATGACAATATTCACAGCATAGAGTTTATTGCCTGGTCTACAACAATCTTAACTTTACACCAACATTGCCTATACAAAACTCCTGATCATCACGTCTGTAAATGATGTCTTTTAGTTAACACCTCTGCTTCAACATCTCTTCTTTCTCATGCTTGTCTGTACGGTTACTTACCACATAGGTGAAATGTTCCTTGGACTCGGAGGGGTACCTGCTGTTGACGGTCACACGGACAGGACCAGTTGTCCTGTCTTTGTTGTGAAATACATCTGTCCGACACACGATCCTGTGAACATCAAAGGTCAGTAGAGTTTATAGCAATACCCGTCTCATCCACATTTTTTTTTTATATAAGGTACTGAATACTAAGAACTTGTTTCCCTCTAAAGCATTGGCAAAATAACCAAGAACATAAGTTAAACTCTCCGCATCTGGAGGTTTGATTTCCTTACAGCACAGGTCATGTTAAAGTCTCACAGCTTGGATCATGTTAAACTGTTCTGACCAGAGATCACATACATTCTTCAAGTTCTGATCATCAGACGGCGCTACTTACCTAACGGCTGGAATATACTTGTCGCGAATGGGCAGACACTGTATTCCAAACACGTCAACATTGCTGACAATGTCATCGAAAGTCTTGCCTAAGTCCAAGCCATCGATGGTCAGCTCTGTTCCCCCTGCCTTTGGACCGGTCAGTGGACGAATCTACAGAAGGAAACAACATGTAATATCATTGCATATAAACATAGCAAACACAATATCTGCATTATTGACTACTCTCCTCTGTGAACTGTTGTGTACAACCCTGCCATAATGGAGTCTGTGACCTTGACATTTGACCAAGTCAGCTGTCACTTTGATCTTTCTCCTACCCTGAGTATGTGACTTTACATTTGATCTAGCCCAGACAATGACATATAGTTTAACATTAGAACTGCATGCAACCCCTAAATCTGACATTAATGAAAGATTCTTTTTTTTTAAAATTATATATCATGTCTATATTTAATAAATGATGGTACAGGATAAAATAAATGCACATTTCTTTTTTTTAAACATAATCTTAAAATCATATCAATAAGCTTAGTAAAGACATTTGTTAAAATTTCCATTGGAGTTACCATGGATACCAAATGTTGGAGTTTGTCATTAATCCCCTGTATGCAACTCCAAGCCAGATGTCATGATTGGAATAAACCCTCATATCTACTGACAATTGTGTCAAGTTTCACCAAACAAAGCACTGCATGAATTAAGATTCCGATCAATACACTTCCTCGTCACATTTAATGTTCTCATGTTCATGTAATGTTTCTCAAAAGTTTCGTACGCAAAACCCCAGTTAGAAAACGGAAATAATGACATTTAAATCAGGAATGAAATCGACTTTTGTCGCCATGGCAAGCTACTGAAAAAATTATGTAATGATCTGCCAATCCAGGGTCATGATAAAATGTTGGCTTCAAAATCGGTGTTATCTTGGTCTTTATAATCCTGCCTCTACAACAGGCACGTTAGCCTAAGCATTGGATATCCCAATACAAGCCAAGAGTACCCAGATAGCATCTGCCTAGCCTATAGGCCCACCGCTAGATTGCTAGGATAGCCAGCAACTTGTGCTGTTTCCCGAAACCATTAAGAGCAACATATTTCATGGTTTTTAACTTCTTTCAAACAATCTGTCATTTTTATTGTTTTCTAAAAGTTCTGGATTATGAAATCTCTTTTGAGTTTGTTTGTTCCTGAAGGACAACTTATTTAAAAGATAACAGATTTGTAGGAAAATCGAGCTCTCATCGCCTGCTTTTAGTACTGTGAGATTTTTCCTCATTTCCTGATTTTGACAATAACATGTTGCTATCGACCACCAGAGACTTGTCAAGACCCTGAGATTTGTGTCTTTAGCTTTATACAAGTCATAAAATACGATTTTAAACCTGATATTTGTATCTCACTAATGGGTCTGAATTGACAAATATAATCACAGTCTCTGGGACCTTCATCAACCCTCCACTTCCTCCCCAACATCAAAGGAGTTTGACTCATTTCCATTGACTTCATACTCCCTTGTGTTTTTGATATCACTCAGGTTGACTAACATTTTTATACCAGTTTCAATAGTTTCCAACTCAATACAAATATTTTAATACAATTAAAAAACCTGTGGGTTTTTTCCCCATTTAGCATTCCATCACTGAAAAAATCACCAAAATCAATGACAAATTTGAATATCAGAGAACAGCCTCTGACGCATAGGCCATCCCAGTTTTTCTTCCACGTTCAATTTTTATTGGTTAAATTCTCAGATTTGGTAAAATGTTGACATCAACGTCTGCAATCTTGTCAGTATCAAAGAAAAGAAATTTGCATAAATGCCAATCTCGAAAGCCATAAATGCTGTTTCGTAAACATGGGACTTGAATGATAATTATAATTACTGGCTCACCATGGAAATTCTGGTCTCCTAACCAAACACAGACATGTAAGGGGCTTCTTACGGACTATAAAACAGGCCAGGACTTGTGGGTGAATCTGAGTGGAGACTTTGTCACAGGGAGGAAAGGTGGGCATGGTAGTGATGGGACAGCCAAGCAGGAGGATTATAACAGGGAAGAAGCAGCAATGGAGATAAAGATCAATTCTGGGAAGAGTAAGGAAAGGTTAAGGGGAATAGGGAAGGCTTAGGAAAGGTTAAGGGGAATAGGGAAGGCTTAGGAAAGGTAAAAGCAGAGTTGGGAAGGGTTTGGGAAAGGTTAAAGTAGAGTTGGGAGGATTATAAAGGTGAAAGCAAAGATCGGAAAGGCTTAAGAAGGTTAAAGCAAGGTTAGGGTGGATTATAAAGGTGAAAGCAAAGATCGGGAAGGCTTAAGAAGGTTAAAGCAAGTAAAAGAAGGGCAAGGGGAAAATAGGGAAAGTTTTGGAAAAGTATATAGATTAAGAAAGAGGAAGAATTGTTTAGACGACGTGACATATGTTTAACAAGAGTAACGCTGGGCGGAACAATATACGCCCGTCGGACGCACGGACGACGCCATACCATAAAACCTTGAGGGACTTTTAGATACAGGTGGTTTAGTTACTTACCTTGAGAATCTTTGGATTAGGACAGGTCTCTGTGAAGGACAACCAGTTGTTAAAAGGACAGTTCTTCTCGATGCTGCAGACCTTACTGCTGGCTTGGTCGCTATTACACCAACCACAGCTGTAGCCCGAGTCCATCACCAGACATTCCCCGCACGAACTCGCCATCTTCTCGCACTTATACATCCTAACTGTGGACAGAGCCAAATCTTCTATGTAAACATTTGTCCTCACACGAGTTAACGTTTATCCTCACATGAGTGAACATTTGTCCTCACAAGAGTTAACGTTTATCCTCACATGAGTGAACATTTGTCCTCACACGAGTTAACGTTTATCCTCACATGAGTGAACATTTGTCCACACACATGCTAAAATACAAGCTGTTCTCTCATGAGTAAACACAACACATGACCTGAGGATTGTAAAAGAAAAGTGTAAAACTGACAAGGCTTTTGAGAGCTGAAAGTTTCAATGTAAATTGAATTTGACCTGCTTATTTAAATCTTACAAAACACTAACCATTTGACATTTCTTAATTTCGGAAAAGTGCTGTTAGTTCTTGTAATATTTGTATCAACTGTTTCCTAAAACCACTTACTTTGCAGATGACTAGGGTTATCCAGGGGTTTGTTACCGGTGCCCCATTCCACTTTGAGAGGGACATTGAGGTAGCTCACATTGTCTGGGTAATAAAACTGCAACGAAAACAAAGCAACACATTATCATAGTAAACCTAAATGCGATAATTACAAAATCAATTATCCAACTGCCAAATTGTCAAACCTATACAATGTTTGCTTGGTTTTAGAAATATGTAATGTTTTCACATTTCAGCAGGAAAATGAAATACATATTTCAATCTTTTCATGAAGAGTAAAACATAATAATTTTAAAAATGTCAATTATAACAAAGTTAAAATTTCTTAGGGTCGCTGCAGCTCATTATAAACGAGTTTACTTCAGTGAAACATGGCCCCAAAACTCTAAACACTGGCTTTACCCACAATTTCATATCCGACCAAATTAACCAGCTAGCTCCCTCCTCTTGCGTCGGTGAAATCAGTGTTACTCTATATATTTATTACATGATTAAAACAGTACTATTTGACTTACATAAAAATTGGTACACTCAATGACCTTGTCCCCTGCGTTAAATTCTGTTACTATGGCTAACACCCGCTGTTCCTCCCCTCCCTGGCTGAACACACAGTGGATTGGCGCCTGGAAGTCCTGCAAAACAGACACAAAAAGGTAAGGGGAAGCAAGTCAACAGATTTCAATGACAAAAAGGGAGGTAACCTGAGGCAATGGGGAGGTAACCGAGTAGGTAAATTTATTACTTATGAGCAAATAAAGCGATCAAATCATATCTGAATATTTGTTTTGAAGTCTTTTGACAAAGTGTCCAGATCCTAGAAAGGGAATTTATAGAAGTTATAGAAGGGGTAGTATTAGTACAAAACATAAAATGGAGGTGAATCTAATCAATCAGTCAAAATCCATACAAGGGGAGGTAATCTAATACAATATGAATCAACTTGGAATATTGTATATTGTCTTTATCTTTTACTTAGACAACATACCTCAACTGTTCAAAATTGTTAATGTATACTCATATCTAGCATTTTTTTCTGAAATACCTGTGTTCTCTGTATATAAAGGCTGATATGCAAATATATCATAATTACAGGTATGTTACCTTTGTTCTAGAATGACTGAACAAATATCTAGGAGATGGTAAAATTGTTAGTGAGCCTTTTCTTAAATGAATCTAAAATGTACTTTTGACCGAGAACTCCATTTTACCAGTTTCCTACTTTCAAAATTTCAAATCAGAGCAGATCGTCGTGTCCCAAATAATAAAAGTTGCATGAAAATTAGGTAGCCGGACTTGGAACAACTATATGGGCAATTCTTGGCCCAGTAGACTTTCTATTACACTTGAGTGTAATAAAGCAAGGATGTCTCACGCTCTCTAAATTCAGATACAAATACATCACATACAGACTCTCACAATGACCTACCTTGATGTTCTTGCCGATGAGGGAGACTTTTTTGGACGTGAAAGATGGCACAAGGATGTTTGGGATACCATCAGTAACAGATATATGCTTGGACATGAAGGTTGGACAGTAGTTTGGTCCTGGTTCATTGGGTAGCATCAGTCCCTCACTCTGTAACAGCAATGTCAGGGGTGAATGATCAAAGGCAAGGGTAAATGATCAAAGTCAAGGGTGAATGATCAAAGGCAAGGGTGAATGATCAATGTCACGGGTGAATGATCAGTGTCAGGGGTGAATGATCAATGTCAAGGGTGAATGATCAATGCCATGGGTGAATGATCAAAGTCAAGGATGAATGATCAATGTCAAGAGTGAATGAACAATGTCAAGGGTGAATGACAATTTCAAGAGTGAATCACGAATTTCAGAGGTTAACAAGCGACAAATGGATGAACAAGCACCAACAAGTAGAAGTAATGTTACCGCTAAAAAATATGCAAAATAACAGGTAAACAGGTAAGCAATATCAGAAGTGAACAAGTATGTCAGATGTTAACCAGCAACTAAATGGTAGAACAAACAATATCAAGCCTTAACAGGCAATGTGAACAGGCAAGCAACATTAGACATAAATAAGTATGTTTCAAATAACCAAGCAATGGGGTACACAAGCATTATCAAGGCTGAACAAGTAATGTCAGGTGAACAAGTATCCCAGGATTGAACAAGCAATTAGGTGTGAAAAAGTAATGTTAAAGGTGAACAAGCATTTAGTCAGAGGTGAATGAACAACAAAGTTAGCAAGAACAAGTAATGTCAAGTTTGAACCAACAACAGCAGGAGGGAGTAAGGGACTTGACACTGACAACAAGAAGTAATTTACCTTAGAGCCAGAGATGAACTTGTCGTTGGTACTGCAGTCCTCCAGTGGGGAATTAGTACAGATGTGGTTTTGGATACACCAGGTGCAGTTGAAATTGCTGGCTGTACATCTGTAGCACCTACAAAACACAAACCAAGGTACAAATGTAGTACTCGTACTTAAAAACACAACTTAAGGTACATAGGAAGTAAATGTACCTACAAAACACAAACCAAGGTACAAATGTAGTACTTGTACTTAAAAACACAACTTAAGATACATAGGAAGTACATGTACCTACAAAACACAAGCCAAGGGACAAATGTAGTACTCATACTTAAAAACACAACTAAAGGTACATAGGAAGTAAATGCCCCTCCAAAACACAAGCCAAGGTACAAATGTAGTACTCATACTTAAAAACACAACTTAAGATACATAGGAATTACATGTACCTACAAAACACAACCCAAGGTACAAATGTAGTACTTGTACTTAAAACCACAACTTAAGGTACCTAGGAAGTACATGTACCTACAAAAAACAAACCAAGGTACAAATGCAGTACTTGTACTTAAAAACACACCTTAAGATACATAGGAAGTACACGTACCTACAAAACACAAGCAAAGGTACAAATGTAGTACTTGTACTTAAAAACACAACTTAAGATACATAGGAATTACATGTACCTACAAAACACAAACCAAGGTACAAATGTAGTATTTGTACTTACAAACACAACTTAAGATACATAGGAAGTACACGTACCTACAAAACACAAGCAAAGGTACAAATGTAGTACTCATACTTACAAACACAACTAAAGGGACATAGGAAGTAAATGTACCTACAAAACACAAGCCTACAATATACAAATCAAGGAATATGTAAGTTACCTACAATAAACAGATCAAGGAATATGTAAATTACCTACAATAAACAAATCAAGGAATATGTAAGTTACCTACAATAAACAGATCAAGGAATATGTAAATTACCTACAATAAACAAATCACAACTTAAGGTACATAGGAAGTACATGTACCTACAAAACACAAGCCTACAATATACAAATCAAGGAATATGTAAATTACCTACAATAAACAAATCAAGGAATATGTAAATTACCTACAATATATACTTTCAGTTCCATAATGTAGTACCTACAATACATGTTTACCTGTATACTTGACCCGTGTCAATACATGTTTACCTGTATACTTGACCCGTGTCAATACATGTTTACCTGTATACTTGACCCGTGTCAATACATGTTTACCTGTATACTTGACCCGTGTCAATACATGTTTACCTGTATACTTGACCCGTGTCAATACATGTTTACCTGTATACTTGACCCGTGTCAATACATGTTTACCTGTATACTTGACCCGTGTCAATACATGTTTACCTGTATACTTGACCCGTGTCAATACATGTTTACCTGTATACTTGACCCGTGTCAATACATGTTTACCTGTATACTTGACCCGTGTCAATACATGTTTACCTGTATACTTGACCCGTGTCAATACATGTTTACCTGTATACTTGACCCGTGTCAATACATGTTTACCTGTATACTTGACCCGTGTCAATATATGTATGTGTTATTTTACATGTGTCAATTTGGGTTGTTTAAAAAACACAGAAAACATCATTTCTGAATTTTAAAAAAAATATACAGATAGAATGATCAGCTTATACTTAAAAAGCAAGTTTATATGTTTATAAACACAAGGCTGTATTTATTGTTAAGCCATTTCTCAATTTACAACAACCACAATTGTCATCGCACAACGTTCGTCCATCGTCAGCACAAATGTGCGCAAGCAATAATCTTCCAGATTTCAATCCTTCGCCTATCATGCATACATCGTGCACACATCACACGCACATCATGTAACGTTGTGCGTTCCCACAACTGTAGTCAAATTATAAGCTTTTTTTGACCATTTCAAGACATTTTTGTTATATTTAGAGACTTTTTCATCAATTTTAGGGCTTTTCAAGGCCTGAATGAACCCTTTATATACAATTACAGGTACATGTATTACCATCAATACATAAACACAGTAACAACTGTAATACCTACAGCATTATAATAAGTGTACACCCTGTCCCGGGGATTCTTTCTATACTCTATGTATCTTCCCTCTTGTCTCTTGTTATCCCCCACCATATCACTGACAGGATTTTATGGCTCTTTGCACTCTCCAGTCCGGATCATTTGTAAGTTTTCATTTAATTTAACAGTCCCTCATAAAGCTGTACTATTTTTTATGAAATTCAGCTGCCACATCTTATTACACTTCAAGCACACTAATGACAGTGATGGACACAAAAAGGACAAATATAAATTCTCTTTTTTGTTTCATATTCACATTAATTCTTTCATTAACAGATATGAAATTCTTGAGAGTTCTGAATAAGAAATGATGCACACTTGTGACCTTCAGGGAGACGATCAGATTCATGGACTGACAATCAAATTTTACAAGCTCCCCATCACCTTCCTGCCATTTGTTGCTAATGATCATCGCGTCAAGACTCGTTCGGCGCTTACGAAGGGATTCACTTGACAGCGTCCTCTTTTGCAGTTAACAACATAAAAATAAGACTTTCCTATGCATCATGGCGTAACATGACATCACCTTCAGTAACCATCCTCTTGTTACCTTTGGTAACTAGGCTACAGTTACCTTCAGTAACCATCCTCTTGTTACCTTTGGTAACTAGGCTACAGTTACCTTCAGTAACCATCCTCTTGTTACCTTTGGTAACTAGGCTACAGTTACCTTCAGTAACCATCCTCTTGTTACCTTTGGTAACTAGGCTACAGTTACCTTCAGTAACCATCCTCTTGTTACCTTTGGTAACTAGGCTACAGTTACCTTCAGTAACCATCCTCTTGTTACCTTTGGTAACTAGGCTACAGTTACCTTCAGTAACCATCCTCTTGGTTATCTAGTATATGGTTTCTATTGTAGCCAGATACAAAAAACTGTTAATGTCACCTCTGGTAGTTAACCCTTTCACCACTGTAGACATGGGAGAGTCTACTAATGTTACTTGGGGGTGAAAGGGTTAAGGAGTTTGTTTTGTTGTACTTCATAATGCATTGTCTACAGTCAAATATAAAATCTACATTGTTACTCAAATTCAACCAAGTTGTGTGGTTTTTGACAGAATGCTGGGATCCTATTTGTAATTCAAATATTTACAAAGTTGGATAAAAAATAACTTCAACCATTCAGAAATGATCAGGTTTGGACAGAAATTATAAGCAGACGTACAAATAGTAACATCAATGGCCTTAACCCTGCCTCCTGGGTAGGAAATCCGTTACCAATGTAGTAGTATTACATAAACCATAGAGTAATATTATCAATTATTGAAATACAGGTAATTTTGTATTATTCTGTAATAACCTAATTGATAAATAAGTTTCATCTCACAAGATAGAACTCTGATGCGTGATGTTAATTGATTTTGTAAAAAAAAACACCTGATTAATATGACATAAAAGACATAAAATAAGAACTTCTGACCATTCTGCGTTCCGGTTCTGTGTTCTATCTAAACTGTACTGTCTCTATATATCTTTACATGCTTATAGACCCCTAGCATAACCACATCAATCACATAGGCCAAGATATGGATCTGACAATATTTCATAAAACAAAAAAACTTGTCCATAAATTACGAGCCTTGATTACAACAGTGACAGTTGTTGATGCCCTGTTTTGTTACAGGAAGCCTTCATCATCATCAAGCTCCTCGGTGAATCAGATGAGTCAAATCTTATTCTTTCATTTGGCACCTCGGCGAGTAAGGACAATAGGCGTTGTCACTGCCACCGTAACAACTGTTGCAATATGAATATTCAAGTAGTTCGTCTCTTCCGATATAATTTGTTTTACAATATTTTGTTACTTGTTCCGTATAACTATGATCCATGAACTAATTTGTTAGTCAAATTTCCTTATGGCAAGACCAGTCTCAAAAATTTGATTAATTTCTTGAACCAAGATAATGAGTTACAACCCTGCTGTTATTCTTCCATGTACAAATGAAGTGATCCAATATTTGGTAATAAAAATCAATGACGTTGTAATTACCACCGACCATTTTTTGTTTTCTCTGTCAGATGCCATCGTTTTTACACGGAGACAATGCAACAAGCTATCACACCGATCATCCATGGGTTTCAGCCATGCTGTTTCATTCATTGTAGCCATTTAGAATCTCAAATAGTCACTAATTGTCAAAAAGATTGTAGCCATTTAGAATCTCCAATAGTCAGTTATTGTCAAAAAGAATCTCCAAAATCTTAAACGGTCAGATTGACAATGGTCAGTTACGTTACCCCAATTTCTCAGACCTTTATCCAACATGTCTCATAATATTTTTTATCAGTATTTCACACAAAATGTTGAATCAGTATTAGAAACTGCATTTTGATGAGATCCCCTTGATGGCCTTGTAGAAGTCTTTTGAAACTTGTCTTTATCAGAAGAGTTTAAATAGGATATGTCATGACACATGACTATATACTAACTCTAGTTTGTACTTTAATGATTTTGGACAAGTCTTTAATTCCAGTATCTACTATTTTATTTGGTCTAGGATCCATCAACCTGTAGAGACACAAGGACTATAATGAAAAGAGAACACCTCCCCCCTTCACCTGAATGACAAAAATTGCATGTAATACAGATGTTCATTGAAAAGTACTGTTTCGTCTCTTCTTTTCTGAGCACACCATTCAAGCCTTACTCTATAACATTCCCTTTATTAATCACACTCCATAAAATCCACATCTCAGTTCTGACAAATACAATATTTTATTGCACGAAGATAAAAGAATTTCTCATTTTTTCACACTTTTCTGTTATAATACAGCGCAACAAAATCAGTAACAGTCGACAATCAACCTCATTGTTCTCACCATTTCCCCCCATTTTATTTCCCCCCCCGTATCCACACCACAGAATTCATTAGCTTTTAACTACCAACAAGTTTTCTAGCGTGAAATCAGACTGCAAGTTATCCAAAATCATCTACATCATTTACAAATAAATGCGGCAAAATAATACAGGGACACGTGAATTCCCATTAAAAATTCAGGAGACG